CCCCCCCTCCTCTGTTTACAAGACTTTATTTCCATTTTTTGGTTTCCTCATATTTTTTCTTTTTCCTTCTTTGCTTTCCCCTACCCTTCCTACTTCCCCTGCACTTCTAGCCCTTTTATTCCTATTTTGCATTGTCAGTTATACAGTTTGGATCTTCTTTACACTTTGAGTTTTTCACATCAAAGAAATTGTTTGGTATTTTACACATATATCTTCTTTATTTCACTTAAAAGTATGGCCTCAATATTCTTCCAGTTTCCTGTGAATGACTCTAGTGTCTCCTTCTTTATGGCTGAGTAGTACTCCATTTTATCTTTTTAGAAAAGTGTCTTTTTATTATTTTTCTGAGTTTATTGGTATTTTTTAGGTATACAGTAAAGTTACATTCATCATTGGGATCTTGTACCTTTATATGACAGGTCTTGGTTCTTATTTTTCACCATACCCCTGCCCCCCCTTCACCCCTTCCTCTCTTCACTATTTACAAAAACTTTATTTCCATTTCCTCATATGTTTTTCTTTTCCTTATTTCCTTTTCCCTACCCTTCCCACTTCCCCTCCCCTTTAGCCCTTTTCTTCCTATTTCACATTGTCAATTATACCATTAGGATCTTATGTACAATTATAGTTTTTCACACTAGAGAAAATATTCGGTATTTATACTTGTGACTTACTTATTTCACTTAAGAGTATGACCTCAATATGCATCCATTTTCCTATGAATGACTCCACAATGTCTTTTTGGATCTTTTGGAGCTGAAGAAGTGTTCAATATACTTTGGATATTAACCTCTTAGTGAACATAAAGTTTGCAGACATTTCCTACCACCCTATATGTAACCTTATAAGAAATGCTAAAGAGATTATTTATCCTAAAATGAAATTATACTAATTAGTAACATGAAACCATATGTAAGGACAAAAATCAAAGGTAAGCATGTCACCAACTCCAAAGTATAGTACTCAGATATCATAATGCTGGGTTATAAATGTCACTTTTAACTAGGGTATAAGGATTAAAAGAAAAATATTGTCAAGCACAACTGTATCTATAATAATTTGCTAGCTGATACCCAATATAAATCAATATAAATTGTGACATCAAAAAGCATTAAAGCTGGGAAGAATAAAAAGGGAGACTTTCTATATACTATACCATATTTTTATCACAAAGGGAAAATATGTAATACATGCACAGAAAGTGCCGAAAAGAATAAATGCATATCACTGCAGAAAGTCATCAAATCCCTAAAGGGGAACACTGTAAGAATCAGTCATTTTATTAAAAATATTAATTGTACATATTAATGGGGTTCAGTGCGGCATTTCAGTTCACACATAAAGCGCTCACTGATCACAGCCACATTCTTTTCGTTCGCCTCCCCCTTCTCAAACTCTAGCAATCATTCTCCCTACCTTCAGGTTCACTTTTCTTAAACTTCCATATGAGAGACAACAGGTAGTACCTGCCTCTCTGAATCTGCCTGATTTCATGCACATAATAACCCGCCAGCTCCATCCTTGCTGTAGACAACAGGGACTCATTCTGCTTTATGCCCGAATAGTGTACATAGTCCTCACTTTTTCCATTCACCAGTTGATTGGCACCGGGTTGACCTAATGTCTTAGCTATTGTGGATAGCGCTGTGATAACCATGGGCACCCAGGTGTCCCCGTGGTGTGCGGACTGCGTCTCCTTTGGATGCACACCCACAAGTGGGATGGCTGGACCACATGGTAGATGTATTTTTAGGTTTATGAGGAACTTCCATACTGCTCCCCACAATGGCTGTACTACTTCACATTTCCACCAGCACTGTGTGAGAGTTTCCCTTTCTCCACCACCTTGCTAGCATTTCTTAAAAGAAATGATTAGAGCTATTTTAACTAGCGTGAGATAGGATCTCATTGTAGTTCTGTTTGGCCTTTCCTGGTGCTAATGAGCAACTGATGGAGGTGAAAATACATTGTTTTGTGAAAACTACTCCATGGGTATGGAGAGCACAACCATATTGACCTGTGATTTACCTGAGCTGTTGAACGGTTTACTGGTGCAAATCTAACGGTTTAACGGTTTCCTTCCGGAATGTGTGTGTGGGCGGAGCTCTCTAACAGCCGGGCAGCTGGAGAGTATAAAAGGAGAGGTTCGGTAATAAAGCAAGCAAGCAACATGAGAAGATAAGTGCCTCCCATCTCTCTGTCCTCGTCCTTTCAGGTTTAGGACCTGCTGGCAGGATCCTGACGTCGCGGCTCGCGACACATGGGCTTTTTAAAAGATGTGGGGGTATGTGTGTCTGTGCGTGCGTACGCATACATTGATCTGTCATGCCACTTTGTACAGTTTAAGAATTATAAATGCTACCCACTTATAAAAATATGGAAACTTTAGCATCAGCCAGGATCTCAATGGAATAAAAGAGCCAGGTAATACCCGAGTTCCAGGAGGAACGAACAGAAAATACATTAGGGTCTGACTCTGAGGGGCTGGGCAGGTGGAGGCAGAAGGAGGGGACCAGAAGGCCCAGGAGGGTGCAGCATCCACTGTCCCTGAGACCGGGGGGAGGGGTGGCCTGTGCCTGAGCCTCTGCTCCTTGCCCCTCCCCCACCCTGTGAGCCCTTTGTGACGGGGAGAACACAGCTCTGAGATGCAGGCCTGGGCCCTCCTCCCTACCCCAGAGAGAACTCTCAGGGCTCAGTTGCCTGAGAACATCACTGCCATTCAGATGATGAAGAATCTTCTCATTCCTCTGAAAAGCCTTAGTGCCACATGGCTGAGCCCCAGCACCACTACCTTCGCGGTGTATATGATCCTCGCCTTTGTGTGTGGACTGGGGCTCTTCCTTCTCTTACTGCCCTGGCTCGAGGGTGAACCATCCTTACCGCCATCCAGGAGAAACAGAAAAATCAGAAAAGTAAGACACTCTCAGCCCAGGCCCAGCAGACAGTGAATCTCTCTACTTTTACAAGTGTCTACTTTTCCAAGTCAAGTAGACAAGACTACTGAGAGGGAAAACTCAGAAAAGAACAGAATATCCTTCCTCCGGGATAGGCAGGGCAGGGCAGGGAGAGTGGGTACCAGGACATCTGTCTGATGCTGCCAGATCTCTGTGTGGTTTGCTGCCCAGAGTAAAGGAGGACACAGTAACTCGGTGCATGAGGACTGGATTCCTGACAGGTGGGGATCTTTGGAGAGGGCCAGGCCCCGAGCACCGGTTCAGTGTCCCAGTCTCACGGCAGATGCCTCTGGGCCCAGTCTTTGCTCTGTGCTGGGCTGAACCAGGAGCTGTGCTGAGGGCCTAAATTCAGCCCCATCCCAGGCTGCAGCTGCCTCTGGTCTCTAGCAGGCGAGATGCAGCTTTGAAAGATGAAATGAGGTGAACTTTTGAGCAGAGGATCAAAGATCTCTTATAGGGGATGTCATGTTAGAAAGCTGCTGTGTTTCTACAAGAAGGACAGAAAATATTGTAATTTAAAAAATGAGTAAAAGGAAAGAAAAAGCACAGGCTCCTAATTAATTGATGAGTAGCATAACTTTCATGGATACTGAATGTCTGCAGCCTGTCTGAGAGAGAGGGGAATCCGGGCCTGGGCCTCTGACTACTTCCCTTCTTTCTCAGCGTCCTGGGCTGATCAGCTGGAAGAAGAGGAGAAGGAAGAGGACAGGTGCTCTCAGAGGTAAGCTCTGCCTTTCAGTCTTTCAGTCCCGGAAGTGACACGGGCTCATCCCTGAGGACCAATGCCAGGGCTCCGAGGATGGCAGCTGCAGAGAGGGGCTCCTGGAACTGCAATGAGCAGAGTGGATGCTTCTCAGGATCCCTGCTCAGAACGAAGCTGCGCTGGGACAAAGAAGGGTTTTGTCCAGTAGGGGGCAGTGCAGGCAGCAGAGGAGCAGCAGCCTGGATTTGGAGGTGGGACCTCCAGGTCCAACTGAGGCCCAACTGTTACAACTGGCTGAGGCTGATTCCTTTGTGAGATGACCCCATTGGTCCAGCACACACAGTTGTGGGGACCATGGGTTTGGAAGGGTGTGGAAGCAATTTGTACTGACAAAGCGCTGCCCATCTGTGTACCACGAAACCACTGTCAGCCAGGGCCAGAGGACACTGGACGCTGATGCTTGGGCTCTGGGGCCTGACCTCCTATGGTGTCCTCTAAGGGGACATTCCCTTCAGCAACCTGTAAAATCCCAACCCCCTGTATACCGCTCATCCTTTATAACCCAGTTTCCCACTTCCCACATTTTGCAGACTGCCAGACTTCTCGGAGGTTCGATAAAACCCTAACTTCCCTTCTGAAAAGGTAAAGAACTTTCCTCTTTCTCCTTCCCGCCAAGGCTTGTGATGTCACAAAGCAGCGTTGGTCTAACCTGGGAGGGGGAGATCCTGGGAGTGAGGGATGTTAAGACCCTGGGGAGAGGAGTAGCAATAAAAGTATCAAGTCGGGATATGGGGCCATGGAAGAGCCATGGCCCACCTGAGCTCACCCAGCCCCTGGCTGCAGCTGTGCCTCCTATTGTTTCAGCTTGGAGAGGCTGCTCCCTGACCCAGGAAGCTCTCAACAGCCCGGATACCAAAACCGCCCTGCTGATGCGCGCACAAGAGCACCTGTCGCAGCCCCGCAGCCATATGGGGACAACGCAGACCCTGCCGCTCTGTCCCTGGCAGAGGCTGCCCCCTGTGCTCTCACTCAGCACCTTCCACCTTGGGCCTCCTCTCCATCACCAGGCCCGCCTGAAACCTCCTGTGATTTTGTGTGCTTGCCCACATCCCTCACTGCCTCTCAGACCCCAGACCCCCTGCTTTCCCCGGCCCCGGCCCCATCCTGTCTGGAGCCCCGATCCCCACCCCAATCCCAGCGCCTACCTGTGGGTCAGACCCAGACTTGGACCCACCCTCAATCCTCTCCCCTAGTCCTGTTAGCACCTTACGTGGCCTTCAATCGGGGCTGCGAAACCTCCTGCTTTACACCCCATAATAACCCACCGTCACTCATTCCAACTGAAATTCAACACCCAGGGAGGCCCTTGTCCAAGAAACACCTAGAACACAGGTGGGCTGACCCCTCAGCAGTCCGAAGCCCTCAGGAGGATCACCGTCCCTGCACTCGAGATCTTCGCCAAGGCAAGGGTGCTGCTGCCATCCTTCCTGAGAGTTTTGCAATCAGCTCTGAGCTCTGGGAAAAACTGGAGCAACACATTCAGAAGTGGTTCATTCAACACCAGCGGGACCTGCTCTGCAATCCAGGAGTCTGAGCTCTGGGAAAAACTGGAGCAACACATTCAGAAGTGGTTCATTCAACACCAGCGGGACCTGCTCTGCAGGATCCAGGAGTCTCCAGAAGTCACACAGCCTCAGTGTGGCTTAGCTCACTCATCTCAGGTGAAGGACAAACCTGGGCCTTCACATTTGTTGGTGTCTACAGGTGAATGCAGCAAGGATGTGCAGAAGGTGAGGTTCCAGCTAAGGAGGGACTCAGGCAAGAATCTGGGGCATATTCTAGGCAAGGTCCCGAAAGCTGTCTCCGGGGCCTTAGGAAGCTCCCCAGCGAAGGTTCTGGGGGAGACCTCTGAGGCATCAGAGCGAAACCTGATGAGGCCCATGGAGAACGACACAGCCCATGACTCATTTGGAAGTACAGACAAGAAATACCTGGGAGGCGTGCTGGAAGCCCATCTGGGTGTGAAGGTGGGGCAGATCCACGAGGGGCTGATCCCTCTGAAAGTGCGCCGATCCTGGCTCACTGCCAGCAGTGCCTTTTCTACATCCAAAACCCACATGGAAACCAGAAGCCCAGTGTCCTCCAGGAGTCAGGAAAGCTGTGTGAGCACCGTCCAGAAGTTTTTCTTCAATCCACGCATTCAGCAGGGCCTGGAGATGCACATTACAAGGCTCAGGGTGAGGCGCAGGTGGGGCCTCCCCCTCAAGCTCCTCAAGGCCATGAACGTCTTTAAATCAGCAAAGGCTCTGCCCTCAGCCTTTCCACAGTTTGCCCGTCCCTCCTCCTCTGGAGGTGTGTCCTGGGCTGGCCTGACAGTTGAGGATGATGCCAAGTTCCTGGGAAAACCACGTCAGAGATGTCCAGGAGAGGAGGCGACAGTCAGGCAGGCTGTCCCTACACTGGGCAGTCTCCTTGTCTCCTCTCTTTCGGGTAAGGAGACCGAGAGGACCCTGCCAGGGATCCCTCTTGGTCATGGCCAGGGGTCCTCAGAGGCCCCTCTAACTAGACAGGAGAGCAGGGGGCTCTCACAGGAACTCACATACAGCCTCGTGGGCAGAACCAGTGAGAGCAGGACAAGCCAAAGGGTTGGCAGAGGCAGCCCAGAAGTCCCCTTGCTTCCTGGAACATGTGTCGCCCAAGATGCACGAGAGCCAGGCCTTTGGGCAGACACTGTGAGCCAGGTTCAGCACAGAGTGGAGATCAAGTCAGTGAGCCATTCTGAAGTCTGTGTCTCAGGTGTCCACCTTCCAGACTCTTCCACTGACTCACTCTGTGCCTCAGACTGTTTGGGGTCCGTGGTGTCCCCGTGCCCTCACCACAGCATGCCTCTAGGGCACATGCTAGCTTCACAGCGGCCAGGTGCCATAACTGCAGACAGAGGGAACAGCCTGGGTCAGCAGAAGCTCAGTTTCCTGAAACATCAGCACTCACCGAAGAGCCAAAGCAAGACCCTTATCCCTGCTGCCAGGCATGAGGTTGGTAGGAGGCCCAGCTCAGGAAAACATGAGGACAGGTTGGGAGCCGTGGGGACCTCTGAGCCCACCCAGGATGGGCGAATAGGAGACACCACAGAGAGTGAACGCCTTCAGCTTCTCCCACAAAATAAACCAGGCCCCTCAGAAGGCTACTTCCAAAGGAGCATGAAGAAATTTCTACAGTGTTTTTTACCCAAAACAGTCAAAAGGCAGGGAGACACCCAGAAAATAGGCAAGCCTGTACCTGCCACTGTCCAGAGCCAGAGACCGGCCATAAACAGACCTCGTGCGGACCATGACACTGATAAGGCTGAGCTGCTCGTGAGAGCAGTTGGGCACATGCTAGAAGCCAAAATGATGCTTCAGCGTGAACTCTGCGCCATGATGTTAAATCAGCGCGAAGAAGGTCAAGCCCCAATCTCCCAGGCTTCCCGCTGCTCAGAGCACAGGAGAAAGCCAGGACATGCAGCCAGCCCTGAGTGCCACAGCTGTCCTGCCAGGGAGAGGCACCCCCGTGACCAAGAGTCCCTGAAAACTGGACAGCTCAACAGTGAGCAGCAGCGCTGGAGGCATCTGCACCCCTTCTTCCCCATCAAGTCTGGGTCCCCAGGCAGCCCCTCCCAGTGGGGCCCAACAGTGTCCCGGGCACTAGGCCATCAACATTACTGCCCAAGGCATGGTCTTTGGAGAAGTGTCTTGACTGGACAGCAGAAACATTTCTGCCCAGTCTTTCTTGGTAGAAAAACACATGACCAGTAAAGAATTAGCTACGTAGAAGAAAATGACTTTTCTCATGCATCCTAGATATTTACTGTAGCCCAATACATACCTATGTTTCCCCAAGAGGGAAATGGCTTCTGTCTGCTCTGTGCATGGTGTGGGCTCTGGTGTCTAGAAGGGATGCAGTGTGGTGGAGGTGATGGGAACGCGAGCCACCTTCACCCTTTGTTCCTTCACTCATCCCCACTTCCATCATGACAGGAACAAAAACTCGAAAACCAAGCTGAGGAAAACCAGTGGTGCCTCCCCCAGATCCGGCTCAGCCCATCTTTGCAGGGCTCCCCTTCCTTAAGGCAGCAGTAGGACCAGGGGCACAGAGACGTCTTAGGACAAGGGAACCTGAGATGTGACTCAAAGTCTGGTGACCTTTACATTTGTATGCAGGCCCAAGGTGGTCCCTAGAGGAGAGGGGGACTCAGAAGGGTTGAGGGCCTGCCCTGGGGTCCCACAGCAAGTCCTGCCTGGCTCCCAGGCTTTGCTCAGCCCAGAGCCCACAGGGGAAGGGGCGGTCACACAGGATTTGTGCCACAAGGAGGCTAGAAGTGGCCTGTCTAAATGTCTGTGGGCAGGGCCCATCTAGGAGGAGAGCACTCAGCTTCCAGCACGCGTTTCCCTTCCCTGTGGGTGCTGGTCCTCATGGAAAAACAGAAGGGCTCAGGAGTCAGGGAGAGAAGCAGCCATTTCTCCAGAGAGCATTTCCCGTGCTGTGGGGCACACAGGGCAGCCACAGACACAGCTCCCGGGGCCTCCATCCTGTGGCCGAGTGTCCTATACCAGGTGCAGCTTCTCCAGGCAAAGGGAGTGTGTCCTGGCCCATCCATGGGAATGGGCTGCACCTGGGGTGCTGGGGGAAGAAGGCACAGACCCTTCATGTCTGGTTGGTGGTGCTGCTGGCTGCCCTACAGCCAAGTCCTGCCTTGGGGTCCTGGATACCTGTGCTGGTTCCCAGAGCGGGCCGAGCCATGACAATGGAGTAAAGACTGGCAGGAGAGGCTGGGCCCCGGGACGCAGAGCAGCCCTGGTGCCTCGGGTGCTAAGGAGAAGGTGGCACATGGCTGGGACCCTGGCCTCAGGAGGGGCTATGTCTCACAGCGGCTGGGTTCTCTCCAGACACTAAGGTATGTTCTGGAAGGTGGAAGAGCGGGACACAGACCATGGCTCCTGCCACTTAAGTACCACAAGCTGGTTAAGCTGATGGGCCGGGTAGAACATGGAAGGAGCGTGTTCCTCTGTCCTAATGCTCAGTCTCCATAAGGTACAGCGAGGCCTGCAGTGAAGACATCCAGAGACCGCTCAGAGTGATGATCTGCAGAGATAGCACAGAGATCTCTCACCACATGTGTGTTTTATACACTGAAACCTCCCAGCCTTCCCACAGGACCTTCACACACAGCTGACTCCATTTTCACCCCAACAGAGACCCCCACAGAGACCTCTTGATCCCACACAGAACTCTTCCCCCAAAGACCTCCCCAGATTTCACAGACTCCCCGGGTCCTCACCCAGAGAGCTGTCAGAGATCTCAGACATGAACCAGAGACCTCCGATAGAAACCTCACTCTGTCAGTGACAGGGACCACAGGGCACTGCCCAAAGGAAATCTCTTGGTCAGCACAGAAAGCTCCCAGTCAGTCAGCACACAGAGACCACTCCCCAGAGACCATGCAGGGATTCTTCAAGTTACTCTACAGTTACCGCAGACACCTCACAGAGAACCCTCAGACTTCCCAGACTTCCCAGACATTTTGCAGAGCCCTCCGCCAGACACCATGCTTACACTTTCCAGAGACCTAACTCTGAGCTCTCTCTAGAGACTTTTCACAGGGTTCTGGCAGAGACAGGAAATGCAGGAAGCTCTGTCAGAGACCTCACGGCCTACAGCCTTCCCAGTGCCCCACAGACCCTGCACCTTCTGCCGAGCCTGCACATGGACTTCTCACAGGGATCCGTGCCACTCCACAGGCCCTCGCACAGAAACCCAGCACAGAGCTTTCGCATGGAGATGCTCTCAGAGACGTGACAGAGAGATGTCTCCCACACAGATCTCCCCAGACAGAGGCCTCACAGAGTTCTTCCACCAGCATTCTGGGAGACTCCACAGAGCTCACATGGAAACCACATAATGAGCTTGCACAGAGACCTTACCCGGGGTTCTCTGCAGAAACCAGGCACAGAGACCTCACAGACACCTAGCACTCTTTAGGGGCCTGAGAAGCCACTCTTGACAGGCCCTTCCCAGGAGAGGTGGAACCACTGACCAAACTGGCAACAAAGTGGGATTCCCATGAGTTTTCCCCAGACATCCAGATATTGTCAGCATCACACCAGATGGGATTCTCTGCCAGGGCAAATGTTCACAATGTTTTGTTTTTTAAAAATCTTATGTAAGATATTTGCTTTAAGGAAAAAAAATGATGGTATCGATGTGTAGACCCCCAAATCCTTTGTTTTACAGGCTTTCATTAGTTAGAACCCTGACCCACAGTGAGAGAACCATACAGCAGGATGACAACTTGCAGAGTGAGTGCGGTAAATCCTCAAGTGTATTTTGGAGCCTGGCTTTGGTGAGCCAGCATACTAGGCATAGGGGTCAAAAACAGTGACTTTACTCTCGGGACAGTTACAATGGTCTGTCAGAAGAGGCATGCAGACATATACCATAATTCCAAGCACTCTGGAAGGCCGGGGTAGGAGGATCATAAATTCGAGGACAGCCTGGGCAGAATAACAGCTTAGTGAGACTCTGTCTCAAAATAAAAAATAAAAAAGGCTGAGAATGTAGCTTGTAGAGAAGACCCTGGGTTTAATCCCCAGTAACACACACACACACACACACACTTCCACAGACACACACATACACACACCCAAATATAATGCTGCTGGAAAGATCAAAAAACGGAAGAAATAAAAGTTTCCCCCAGAGAAACTAGGAAATGCTCTATTTTATAGCTCTATGGATCAGGCATCTTACAAAGTTCTGGACTGAAGTCCGAAAAGTCTCCCTCTTTGATACAGTGTCTTGTTATTTAATTTTTCTCAGGCTGGTTTTAAACTGTTGTGATTATACAGTGTGTGCATTAGAATAATCCAGCATAATCCTCCTATTTTAAAACCAGCTGATCCGCAACATCTGCAACCTTTTCCCCTTTCCCATATAAGGCAACATAGTCACAGATTCTGGGGATCAGGCCATGGACACCTTGAGCAGGTCACTGTTCTGTTTCCCTCACCCAGTCATATGGCATTGACAAGAGCATGTTTGAGACAAGAGATGAGGGCGCGGCAGGCTAGCTGGAGAACAGGATGTAACCTGTCAGTTACAAAGGACCAGAAGGGAGGCTGAGCAACCAGGCACGACTTGTCAATCATGAGAAACTGCCAGTACATATGCAGGCCAATTTCCCACAGACTGGATCTGAAAAGATAGAAAACATAGAAATCACTGACTTCAGAGCACTGCTTTTTCCTGTTCTGCTGTCTTCCTGCTTCTGTAGTGGCCCATCCAGCATGTGGGACATATCTTGCACTTGCTTTTTCTTCACTTTTTCCTTTTTCTTCTTTACTTTAAATAAAAGTCACAGTTACCCATTCATTCACTGAATTGGTTGGGCCAGAAAGTACCCAAACCACAGGACACGGTATCATCTGGAAACATGCTAAGGGTTGCTGGTGTGAAGAAGACTCAGACCATGCTGTGTCAGGTGCTCCAGGACAGGCATGGGGCTCACAGAGGGACAAGACAGTGAGATTTACATCCCAAACCAGAACAGGACCTGCCATTAGAAGGGACTGCTCCACATTGTATGTTGCATTTGGAATGAAGATAGTTGGTAAATATAAATTTAAGACACCATTTCACATTCAGAATCAGAGACAATAACTTTTCAAAGATGCCAAAGCTGCAAATTACTTTAGCTCCTGGTTCAGAATCAGGTGCTACCCACATAACCTCTTCTAGACAGACCTGGCTAGAGCTGTTAGCCTGTTCCCATCTCCTCACGCAGGGAGCAGTGCTTCTCTGCCAGCCCCCCGGGAAGAGATTTGAACCACTGGGGCCTGAGAGGCTGCTGTGTAGTGGCTCAGCCTTCACAACTCACTTTGGAGGTGACCTGCACACGAGAAAGCACTTCAAAGGAGCGCAGGGTTTATGTTATATTCCGCAGTGCTGGGGACTGAACCCAGTACCTTGCACATGCTGGGCAAATGCTCTGTCACTGAGCTACACCCCAACCCCAACTGTTGTGTTCTGAAGGACACCTGCCCAACACATACAACTCTTTTGGGGAAGGACCTGAATGGTATCAAATGCTCAGCATCAAGCATGTACTTTAGGTCACTGTTGTGACCCCCAGGGAAAGTCTGACAGGGAACTAACTGTGGAAAACTAACGAGAAGCTCATAGAAGGAGCGGGATGAAGGAGGAAGGAGGAGCTGGGCAAGCTGCGGGGACAAGTAACAGGGCAGAGTGGAAGAAAAGGCCTAGGGACTAGATGTTATGAAAGAAAAAACTAAGCTTAATTCTAATAATGATTTGAGCTTTCTAAGCTTCAATTCTTAATTATGGTGGCCACCCATATTCCAATGAATACCAAAAAGTAAAACAAAACAAAACAAAACAACCCCCCCAAAAAAAATCCCCCGAACCATCTGAATCAGCTTAGGCTATTTCTAAGTTGTAGGTGCTATGATTTTTAATCTAGCTGCATTAATGTTGTTGTCAACATTAAAATTAGAAGCATATGAAGTGCATTTTCATTTTATTTTATGGATAATTTAACAAACTAAAAACTAAGAAAGTACTTAAGTAGAAAGTATAGTGCTTGCTACACAGATCCCTTTTGAAAGCTAAAGCAAAAGGAAGTTATTTTGTTTGGGAAGTAAGGTCAAACCAAGGGTTGTAGCCAGGCGTGGTGCATACATTTGTACTGTAATCCTAACACTCTGGAAGTCTGAGGCAGGAGGATAACAAGTTCAAGCTTGGGCAACTTAGTGATTTAGCAAGGCCTTGTCTTTAAAAAAATGCAGTGGATATAGTTGAGTATAAAGGCCATGGGATCAATCTCTAGGACCCCCTCCACCAAAGGTGAGGCCAATAGCTCTCAGAAAAGCAAGCTGAAGGGGGCACTTTTGGGAGCTCATGGGTTAAATACAAAGAGAGGCACAATGGCACGAGGAAGGTGCTACTTGGGAGCGAGAAGTAGCCCTGGTGACCCTCACCTCCTTCAGGCACCCATCTAGCTCTCAGGACCAGTTCCCAGCTGTCTCTTACTGGGATAAAAAGTCTTCACCAGAGGCTCTAAATCGTGGGAGTCCTAACTCTCCACTTCCTGACAGCCTGTGGGAGTGGGCTGGCTAAGCAATGTCCACATTTCAGTGTTGCACGTGCCTAAATTCCAGAAACCCTAACCTACACTGTTGCATTTCCCCATGAAGACTGTGTTGGAGGCACCTCCATATTGTGCTCTTCAATGGCTATATTAATCCACAGTCCCATCAACAGAGCCAAAGAGTTCCCTTTTTTCTCCAGCCTTTACCAACACTTGCTATCCTTCAACTTTTTCACAACAGCCAGCCTAAGAGGGGTGAACTGATAGTTCACTGTGGTTTGCACTTGCATTTCCCTGATGCTTAGTGATATACTTGATGGCCGCTAGTAAGTCTTTTTTTTTGAGAAAAGGCTATTCAGGTCCTATACTCATTTTTAAAAATGAAACTGGGATGTAGCTCAGTGGTGTCACCACCTGCCATGCAAGTGCAAGGTCCCAAGTTCAATCCCCAGGACAAAAAAAAAAAAAAGGCTATTTTCTTACTTTTGAGTTGTATGAGTTCCTTGTGTATTTGATATTATAAACACTTATCAAAAGTATATGGTTTGCAAATATTTTCTCTATTTCTGTAGGTTAAAGCTTGAGAGTACTACAGTACACTGTCTTCTAAGATTACTGGGATAGTCCGGCCTCCTGTGACCACCAAAGTGGGACCTATACCTCCTTATCCCTGGGTGGTAGCCCTGAAAACCTTGGCTTTGGAGAGTAGCATCAGCTCAGCCTGCGGGAGCCAAAGACAGACATGGTCTTGACTTTCAAGATCCTTCTGGGCCCATCGTAGCTGTTCAGCCCTGTTGATCTCTGAACTACTACCTTTGGGGCATTTTCCTCCTCCTAATGAAGGATATTACATGTCTGCAGCATTGAAACATGTTTGGCCTGTTCTGAAGAGTTCCAGAAGTCCAAGAGCCTTCCTTTATTTCATCTTGTCATCCTTCTTTTCAGGCTAAGTTGAAGTGTTTTGACTTGCATAAAATGCTCAAAAACCTTGTTGTCCTCCCAACTACTTCACGGGGGTCCAAGCCACAAGTCAGAGGCACTTTCATGGAACTGTTCTCTGAACTCTATTTCGGACTTCTCCTAATACAATTGATTATATCCATGAGTCACACTTGTAAACTCTTGACTGAATGATTATCCAGAATATGTTTTCTGCTTTCTGTCTTATACTGCATAATAGATAAGCTGAGAATTTTCTAAATCAAGATGTTTGTTTTGGCTGTAAAATTATACACTTACATTGTCTCTTCTCTCATTTTACTTGAAACATCAAGGAGAAGCCAACCTGACCTTCAACATTTAGCTTAAGAAATGCCATCAGTTAAATATCTAAGTTTGTGTCTTACCAATTCTATGTTCCACAAAACACTACAACACAATTCACTGAAATTCTTTGCCACTTTACAACAAAGATCAACTTCCCTTCAGGTCCGAATGACATGTTGCTCATTTCTCAGCCCTGACCAGGTCCACTCTTAGTGCCCAGATTACTACCAACAACTTCCAGCCTCTACCCATTTTTTAGATTCCAAGCTGCTCCCATAGTTTCAGGAATTTGTTAAGCAGCATCTAACTCTCTGTACCAAAATATGCATTCATTTGCTAGGGCTGCCTTAATTAATTACTAAAATCTGGACAGCGTAAGCAACAAAAACATGTTTTCAAACCTTGTTTCTAAAAGTTAAAACTCATATACATCAACTGGACTGTTTTGTGAGTTCTCCTTCCGTGGCTCATTAATGGCTATCTTCTCTCAGTTTTCACATGGTCTTTTCTCTGTGTATGTTTCTGTCCTAATGTCAAAAGAAGACCTGACTGGGCTGGGGATTTAGCTCTGTGGTGCCACCACCTGCCTTGCAAGTGCAAGGTCCCCAGTTTGATTCTTGGTACCAAAACCAAACAAACAAAACAAAAATCAACCAACCAAACAAAAAAACACCTAAGAAACAAACAAACAAACAACCAAGACCTGTCCTATTGGCATAAGTCTCCATATGACCTTATTTTGCTTCAGTTGCCCTTAATGGTCCTGTCTCTGTCTTAGTTACTTCTCTCATTGCTGAGACAAAATACCCAGCAGCCAAAGTCAAAGGAGGAAAGATTTATTTGGGTATCTTTCCTCCAGTAAGGGTATTTGGCTCCTTTGTCAAAGATGAAGTGGCTGAGTGTGTCTGGAGCTGTTTCTGCATCTTGTAATCTGTTCCATTGATCATCGGGTCTATTTCTTTGCCAGTACTGTGCTATTTTTATTACAGTAGCTTTGTAACATAGTTTCAAGTTGGGGATTATGATAACCACTGCCTTGTCTTTGTTGCCTAAAATTGCCTTTGCTATTCTTGGTCTCTTCTGGTTCCAAATGAATTTTAGGATTGTTTTTATCTAATTCTGAAGTAATGCTATTATAATTTTGATTGGGATTGTATTAAATCTATACAACAGTTTTGAAAGTATGGCCATTTTCACTATACTGGTTCTTCCAACCCAAGAACAAGGGATGTCTTTCCATTTTCTGATATCCTCTTTGATATCTTTTTTCTGAGTGCTGTAGTTTTCAAAATGTAGACTTTGATGGTCACATATGTTACTGTGTTGTGTTTTCTAGCGTTCTGTTTCATAACTCTACTCATATGAGCTATTTATATGTGCCTTGTCTTGTTTGGTTGTAGATAATTATGTACCTAGTTTTATAAGAAAGTGCCAAACTGGTTTCCAGAGTGGCTGTATTATTTTACATTCCTGACAGCAATATGTGTGATCCACTCTCTCTGCCTTTCTGCCAGCATTGCTGACACTGTTGTTCATTTCAGTCATTCTGTCGGGTGTGCAGTGACATCTCATGGTGAGTTACAGCTGCAGTTCTGAGAAGGAAATGGAGTGGAGCATCTTTCTGTGCACCTGTTATCTGCAGATCTTCGGTGAAAGGCCTGTCCACATCTTTGCCCACATCCTTGAGGATCAGATTAATGTCTGGCTGAATCAGGAGCGCCGCACCCATCTCTTGTGAGAAAACTCCAAGGCCTATTAGGGCTGGAATAATCCACCCCACCCCCTGGGGTGTGTAGAGATCTGACTTTAGACAGATAAACTGTTCCTCTCAAAAACCTCTGACTCCATTCTTCTCAGCCCCTAAAACCTACAATCCCAAAACTAACATGTGGCCAACAAGATGTGCCCAATATCCTGACTCCACCCTGGCTCCACCCCTGCCTTACTCTATCCAACAGCGATCCAATAGCGCCACCCTGGCTCCACCCCTACCTTACCCTATTTGTCTGTGCACTTCCTGAATAAAGCGAAAGTGTTCCAGAGCCCTCCTGTGAGTCTGAGTGGTGATTCCGTGCCTTGCGGCTGGCAGATGAAAACAACACATCCTAATAACCACGTCCCTCTCACTCCTTTAAGACATTTTAGGAGGAGGGCGGCACAACCTGGTGCACAGAAAGCCTGACCAGAGATGACTGCGTCAAAGCAACTAAACGCCACTACAGCTCTTCCCTTTGAAGAGTTTCACTGTGTCCTGAGGAGCTGCCTGTGTACACAATGCAGTAATCAAACATCCAGTCTTTGCCAGCTGTCATCAGTTTAGCCTACAGGAAAACTAGGAGGAAGAGCAAAGTGGGATAAATCGGCTAAACTTCATCTTTCACAAGGGAGGGCCGGGGATTGAACTCAGTGGTTCCACCACCTGCCTTGCAAGCACAAGGTCCCAACTTCGTTCCCTGGTACCAAAAACAAACAAACATCTTTCATAAGGGAAAATCCCTGCAAATAAATCAAGGTTAATCAACAAAGAAGTTCAGTAAATATATAATTTACTAGTTTTAAAGCGGCTGGGGATGTAGCTCAGGGATAGAATGTTTACTGAGAATGTGTGAAGCTCTGGGTGTAATCCCCAGTGAAAGAAAGGAGGAAGGATGTGAGAGAGGAAAAGAGGACAAATTAACAAAAACTGTTTTAAAAAAACTATTTATTGGGCTGGGGATTTAGCTCAACGGTTCGGCGGCCTGCCTTGCAAGCGCAAGGACCCGAGTTCAATCCCCGGTACAAACACAAAAACAAAACTTATTTATTTAGTTTGAGGCAAAACATTTATTGGTACATTTTAGATACCCATAATGATAACATTCATCATAGGGATGCTGGACCTGTACATGATATATCTTGCCTGTTCTTTTTTTCCTGTTCCTCCCCACTCCCTCTGACCTCTGTTTCCTTCATTTATAAAAGCTTTGTTTCCATTTTTCCTTCTCTTCTGTCCCTTCTCACCTCCCGTCCTCCCTGTTCCCCTTCTCATTTGAACTATTTCTCCCCATTTCTCAATCTCAATAGCATACATTTTGGTCCTTATTTCCACTTTCAGTTCCTCACACCAGAGAAACAACGCAATATTTAAGCATGTGTGTCTGACTTATCTCACTTAGAAATACGGTCTCAAGTTTCATCCACTTAGGTAGAAATTCCATAATCTTATTCTTCTTAATGGTAGAGTAATACTTTGTTGTCTTAAAAAAAGCACATCTTCTTAATCCATTCATCAGTTGATGGGCATTTGGGCTGTTTCTAAGATTTAGTTATTACAAACTGTGCCACTACAAACATGGGTGTGCATATGTCACTGTGGTATGATTTAATTCTTTTGGAAAGACATCAAGAAGGGGAATAATGGGGTCAAATGGAACCTCTAGTTTTAGTTTTTTGAATTAATCTCCACACTGATTTCCACAATGGTGGCACCAGTCTACACTCCTAACAACAGCGGAGAAGTGTTCTATTTTAGTCACAGCCCTGCCAGCAACTGTTATTGGTTGATTTCTTGATGATAGCCATTCTTTCTAGAGTGAGATGGAATCTCAGCATTGTTTTAATTTGCATCTCTCAAATGACCAGTGATGTTGAACATTTAAAAAATATATTTATGTACCATTTGTACTTCACCTGAGAAATGTCTATTTCAGATGCTCATTTTTGGATTGGGTTTTAAGTTGGAGGAAGGTGTCTCTGTTTTTGGAGTTCTTTATATATCCTAGATATTAATCCTTTATCTGAGGAGCAGATGATTAAATTTTATTTCCATTCTGTGGGTTTGTCTCTTCACTCTTTTGATGGTTTCTTTTGCTGTGCAAAAGCTTTTTTTTTTGGTATCGGGGATCAAATTCAGGACCTTGCACTTGCAAGGTAGGCAGTGCAACAGCTTTTAAAAAAAATTCATTTTACTGATACATTTAAAGTATACAATATAATGAAGTTAATTGTTGGAAATTTGTATCTTTACATAATCAATCTTGGTTCTTATTTTTCTCCATCCCTCTACCGTCCCTTCAACCCCTCCCTCCCTATCTACAAAGACTTTGTTTCCATTTTTTCATATTAATTCCATTACCTGCTTTCCTTTCCCATGAGCCACCCACTTCCCCTTCCCCTCTGTCGTTTTTCTTATTTCACATTATCTATTATACCTTTTAGGCCTTTTTTATGCTTTCAGTTTCTCACATCCAAAAGCTTTTTAATAAGATGAGATCCCAGTTGTTGATTCTTTGTGATATTTTCTTTGTGATTAGGGTTTTTGTTCATAAAGTCTTTTTGTACACCAATATCTTCAAGAGTTCTACCTATTCTATCTTCCAGTAGATGAAGTGTTTTTAATTAATATTTAGATCTGTGATTCGTTTTGATTTTGGTTTAGTGTGTAGTGAAAGATATGGGTCTATTTTTAATCTTTAGC